TGGCTTTGTGTAACTAAAAGGCTGACTTGATCCACCTACTGGCTTGTATACAATCTTTGGACATTTTGTAGGCATTTTGCCAAGGAACCCCTTGAGGGAACCTGATGGCACCTTAGTTGAAAAAGTCTGCCTTCTACTCTTATCTGATTTCTTCAGAGGATATGAGCAGACCCAACACCTGAGGTACGTCAATACAACCGTGCCTATTCAGTTTTCTGTCCACATTTTGACAGCAAACTGTGGTGGACCCATTAAATCTATGGGAAGCAGTCTATTTTAAAAAAGGAAGATTGGTTTGCATCTTGGTCTGCGCATTCCTCTTGCTGATACAAGTGATTGCTTCAGAGGAGACGAGACGATTCAGCACCTGAGATTTGTGAATGCAACAATGCCTGTTCAGTTTTCTGTCCACATTTTGGCAAAATACTGTGGTGCACCTCATAGATCAGTAGGATGCTGGATGTGTCCATTTACATCAGACTACTTTTAATCCTTTTTTTGTTTAGTTTTTTTGGACCTTGACAGACTCTGAGGTAGACAGCCACCATGTAGACCTGAATGAAACTTCTAATCCGGTCTGCCTAAAAACGTGACAGGTGGACCTGATCGGAAAGCCTATGTGAAAGCTGCCTAAAAAAAATGTCCAAACATTCTTACTACCTGCTTAACAATTTTTAAGATTAAACATCAGCCTACATGGGAAGTGTGTTTCCAGTGAGTCGAAAGGAACACAACCATTGTGCAGCATATGCAATAAGCAAGTATGTCTGCCCTCAGGCTGATTTAAGGCCGCCATACACGGCACAATTCCTGTCATTCAGTCTACAGACTAAATAGGAGAAGATCAATTGATTTCTTCTTCCCCACTAAACAGCATGGATGGAGGAATCTCAACTGCCAGCTATTGTATTTAGGCACCCACAACGGCATGAATACAGTGGCTGCATCTAAAAGGCTGCAGCCAATAATTGTCCACCTGGCTAGGTCCATCAAACTGGGTGGTGATTGCAAGGCCTATATTTTAAATTTGGAGAAATTAAACCGGAACCAGCTGAAATTTGATGTGTCTATGGCCAATTTAAAGTGGAAGACAAGTCAAAACCTTACTAAGTTAAAGTGGAGTTCCAGCCATTTAATTAATTTTTTTCTGAAGGCGCCCACGTGATAGTGGCAGCTTAGACAATGCAAGTTGAGGTCACCTGTACTTGTAGTCCTTTGCTTTCCTTATAAAAAAAATAAAATTACTTACTGCACCCTTGCATTGTGAACACTGTCATCTTAAGTGTGGGCACTTGAAGCTCACTCAGACATTCTTCTGGGAAATTGTGCAGCTGGCTACCCAGCATGCACTTCCCGTTCTCGCTCCTGTGCAGTGTGAAGAAGGCGCGGCACTTTCTAGCTCCTGCGCAGTGTGAAGAAGGAGCAATCTTGCACCTGCGCAGTGTGAAGAAGGAGCAATCTTGCACCTGCACAGTGTGAAGAAGGAGCAATCTTGCACCTGCGCAGTGTGAAGAAATCCCCCCCGCTATCACGTCATGTCTGGTCTCATAGGAGATTTTGGTATTAGGCACTCCATAGGACTGCTGGAATAGATGACGCCGATATCCCAGAAGCCCTAGGGAATGCCTGATGATCTTGCACCTGCGCAGTGTGAAGAAATCCCCGCTATCACGTCATGTCTGGTCTCATAATAATACGAGATTTTGGTATTAGGCATTCCATAGGACTGCTGGGATAGATGACGCCGATATCCCAGAAGCCCTAGGGAATGCCTGATGATGTAATTGCCTAGGCGGCCGGGACAGGACGTGGAGACAGAAATTATCAATTAAAGGTATTTAGGAAAAAAAATATACATCTATATTGCCAAAACGGACTGTGAAAAGGGAGACCATTGTCTTTCAAGGGAGAAAAAAAAAAGGCTGGATCTACTGTTCCCCACCCATTCTAGGCCTATTCTATCTACCCTATAAAAGGAAAGATGCCTATTTTTATCACATAGGTCTGGTCATATGACTGTCTTCCAGTACCAGCTTCAGTGTAGAAGAGGAAAAGTCGACAACGGATGCCCCATAGCAAGCCACCATCAACCGGGCTCTACAGCTGTTGTCAATGATCTCTGCAGTGAGCAATGGAAAGATCATGTGAGCGGACCATGGCGCCTTTAGAATAGTTAAGTATAGGCATCTTTCCTTTTACAGGGTAGATAGAATAGGCTAAGAATGGGGGTGGGAGCAGGTTTGAGCTTAGTTAGGTTTTGACTTGCCTTCCACTTTGAGTATATAAGAAAAAAAATATATACAGTATATTAAAAAATAGATTATCCCTTTAGTTATACTATCATATTATGGTACAGAAAGTAAAAACAATGTGCTGTCCGATATTCAGAGCTGCTGCTGAGCTGTACAGTCATCCACCAATCAGGAGCCCTAAGACAGATCATATATTGCTGTATGTTATCTGAACTGCAGAGAATCTTGATTCTTCTCAGCAGCTAATGTGCCTACTTCAGTTCTGCTACTGGATCTGCTCACAGGTCTGCACCCTCTGCCACTTCTGCCTTAGGCACTGTCCCATGGAAGCCTTCTAGTCTTGCAAAGATAAATTGTAGCACAAAGGAAAGCCTTGTTATTTTCTTGGTACTAATTCCCCTTTTCCATCGCTAGCTACTTTTTGTATTGCGTTATACATGATACCTCAGCCGCGATTTTAGCATAATGACCCTCATCTTGTTTAACAGATAAAATATCTCCAGGCATTTTCCCGGCTCATCATGCAAATTATAAAATCTGTCTAATGCTCTTTGCTTCCTTGTGCTGCTCAGTAACTAAATTGCTGATGTGTGTGGTTAGTGTAGGGAAAATATGAAATTCATAGTACGGCAAGCTTCAGTGAGTCCAGCAATTTGTCTTTGCAAGCTGTCAGACCGCTCAGAAAATGTACACTGATGTTTACTAATCTCTGGCCTGATTTTTTTTTTTTTTTTTTTTTAAATGGAAATATAGCCTTGTTGTGTACATCTTATATTATGTACAGGGCCAAAATTTAACTGGTTTTTATTTTTGTTTTAATTTATTTTTGGTCAGTTATATATGAAATATTGTTTGTGAAAATTTCTTAATTACCTTTTACAAGCTACTAGGCAGTGTACTTGTGTCCATCATACCCCGCCCCACCCTTGCCTCACGTTTGCCGAGTCATTTACTACTATGTGGTGAATAGCCAGTAATATGAGCTTTTCAGAACACATGTAGCTGAAGAAAGGAGGCAACCTGCTTCTTCTCCAGGTCATTCACCCTTGTTTTAGTTTGGGAAAGTCAAAACGTGAATAAAAAAATATCGCTGGGCTTTCTTATTAGAAAGTGAGCATTACATCATGGAAGCACCTTGTGTACATTGTCAGTTTGTAAAATAATATAAATATTTTTAGTTTAATTTGAAAGTAATTTAAAACATCAACTTAAAAACTTTTAAGCATGTCAAAAAAGTAGATTGTGACCCTTGAATGGTGCCTGAACAAAAAAAAAGTGCTGGCCTTCTAAAAAGATATGCAGATCAACACTTTGCCAGGGGAGGGTACTGTGATCCTAGTGAGTGGTAATACATACCTGGAAGTGTTAAATGTACACATTAACATACAAACATTTTGTTGATCCTAAGTCCACTTTAAGCTCTTAACTCTTTCTTGGAGAACTTCTTTAAAATCTTGGCTAGCCCGTAAAATTGCTCTCTGAACAGTGTGTATGCAACAAGTATAATTTAATTAGAAGGTAAGGTATAAAGGCAGTGTAAAAGACGTAAATTCAATAAACTATGTTCCTAATTAGAGATAGTTTGCAAGTAGTGGTATACCTTGATTAAATTTGGAGGTCTATTAAAATGGTTGCTTAGACTAGCATTCTATCACTTGTGGGTTTAAAGAGATAGTTAGGAACTAGAAATTTCTTTCAAGGCAATTTAACATGAATTATATGTGAAGTTTAAAGGCTTCCAAGCCAATTAGGTCTCCGCTGCATTGCTTTAAAAAAATATGCCTTATGAATAATATTTTGATGTTATTTTTGTATGAAAACATAAATTAATGCATTTATGGCTTTTATTTAGTGCCTTGATGCTTATAGTAATGATCTGCAGTTGCTTAAATTGATGGTAGATGTGGCAGCAGGTATTTAGTGGTACACACATACCGTGTAGGGTGCTGCAGGAACCCCAAAAACCTGTGGTGCTCATTTTATGCAAATCTTGACTAGTTCCCATGATTGAAAGCGGAGTCCTGCCCTTTACCACTTTCATGCATCCCAGATGACCAATAGGGGGTAATCTGTGGGCATATTAAGAACTGGGATGCAAAATAAGATTGCCGTAGGCATTAGTGAGCTCAAAACCCCTGATAAGGTGTTTGAGGACACATTTCCATTGCCATTGCCCATCCTGCAGCAACAGTTTTTTGTTTTTTTGTTTTTCTTTACTGCACCATTTATAATTAAAGAGCAGCCGTTGAGCTTCAGCCAAGTGATTCTGCCTAGGCCTGGATGATGTCATCAGTCTGCTGCAGGCAGGAGGAAGTCCTCTCTCCCCCAGTGGTGATCAGATTGTAATTTTTAGCACATCCTTGTAACGGCAGCATGGACTGATCTGTATAAGTAATTTGTGAAAGCAACCAAGAATTGCACAGGCTTTAGAATTGACATGATTGTGTCTTCTCAGTCCAGGAAGTAGGTGCTGAAACTGCATGATGCCTGAGCAAAGATGGCTCTGTACTTTTGAAGTGAAAAGCAGAAAATGCATTGTCGGGGGAGTACTGTGATAAGTGATAAATATCTGAACGTTTGGTATTTAACTGAAGCTATGTACACTTGACACTGAACTTATTTTTAACTTATTCACTTAGTTTTCTATATTGGTCTTTTCAATGAACCTTATACTTCATAAACCATTTAATGAATTGAATTTGTGCATAATACCCATAATGTGTTGACACTGATTTTTTTTTTCTCCAGAATCCTCCAATGCTTCATTACTGACCAATGCCGAGAAAATTGCCACAATTACGACTACGCATACGCCTCAGACAATATCCCAGGAAACAAAGTAAGATTTTACAATAAAAAGGCCATCAATATAGAAAAGTCTGGAATTGATTATTGCTTGTATGTACATGTTATCTTGTGATTTAAGCTTCTTCATGCCTTTGTCTTTATTTTTAAATCCAGGAACAATTCAAAACCAAAGCAAGAGCCCCAGTTTGAGTTCAAAAATCCACCAGCCACTCAGGTAAGGGAGATAATAAAGAGTTGGTTTATGGTCTCTGAAGGAATATTGTTACTGGATAAAAAAAGCTTTTGTAAGATGGTAAACTTGAAAAGTGGTGGAGCATCAAGCCTGCAGTAACACTGTAAATTTTCATGCACCCTCCTTATGAACAGGGAGGCACAGTAGAAACCTTTTGGGAAGAATTTGCAGCCTGGTTGGAATGTTAGGCTTTCACTTTGTTTATCCTGGAAAAATATGGTGGGAATAATTGTATCCCTAACAAGGATAAATCAATTTTAATTGCTCTCTGCCCAAAATTGTTGCTGGGGCCCATGTTGTTTTTACATTGTATGGGATTCTGCCCTCACCGTGCTCAAAAGGTAATCCCCTTAGAATGTGCAGAGCCAATCACTTGTGAAAGCAGTGACCAGTCCTTTATCTTCATGTGAGCATTTTTTTTTGTGCACTTAACAAGTGTTAGATTTAAAGCTAAAATTAGGCATGAATTTGTGTGGTGAATGCTTGACTTAAAGCTTTGTGAAAGTACTGAAATAATCAAATGATTGCTATAGTGTGGCAGTCCCAAAGGGGTCCCTAGAAGAGTCAACTTGTGTGGAGTAAAAGTTTGAGAGCATAAAATTGTAGGCAAGGACTCAAGCCCTAAATATTGGAGTGGATATCTACACCATAACTTTTGTGACTTGAATCCTTAATTACAGTCTACACTGGGATCCAATATGTTCTCCAGTGTGTGCAGGATTTTCTTCAGAGACCTGGACAGGCATCAGCCACCACCACGGTATTTGTGGAAATAGATAGCAATATCTTCTGTAGGCTCTCACACTAAGTTGCTCGATTCCGTCTTGGGCCTCTTGCAACCCAACATTATACAACCCCAATCTATCACTTTTGTGATTCAACATAACATCCATTGGTCCTCAAAACTATTGCACTTACATGGATTCCTCTGGTGGCTGTTTCTTTATTTCTTTCCTCTTCTCTGTCTTTGGTCCAAATGTAGGTATCAGTCCAGCTATATATTTTTTTTATAAAATTATTTTCAAAGAGTCTATCCACAACTGATTTTCATCGAATATCTTCAAACAGATTTTATATATGGAGTTATTTTAGTTACACAAATATATCAATGTATGCATTCTATAAAACTGAGAAGCACAAGAACATAATTTGAAATGGCTAAATTGTTGAAAGCACATAAAAGTAAAATTGATTTGGAGGATTGTATTAAAATAATAATGCATCTATTATGGTTAATTAATATAATGTACAGAATGAGATTGCACTTTTTTTTAAGATGAAGGGAAATTTTTTTTTTACATTACCACTGAAATGCATTGGATGTCAACTCTTGATGGACAAATAAAATGTGATATCTGGACTAATCTGTATGGCTTGGTGCTCCCATCCTTTCACTCCTTATAAGATAAATAGGAATGGCCCTGGGGCTACATTTAGGGCCAGTGGTGGATTAATTGTACTATGGGCTCCAGGCTGTTTTCAATTCACAGACCCCACACCAGTTTAATGGGATCATACATAGGGGTCAGTGCACACAGCCATTTGTAGTTTCTGACATAGGTTTGTTAAAACGATTCTGCAAGATTTACCATGTTTGAATTTTACATTGGGCCTTATGTAGTGGTATGCATTTTGCAAATTGCTAATGTGATGGTAATGTTAAAATGATACTTTTAGTTACAATGAATGTACATATGTGTTATGTATTGTTTGGTAACTGTAAAGGAAACTTTTTTATGGAGAGCAATACAAATCCTTTGCTAATTAAGTGCTGAAAGAAGACTTGCAGAGCTGAAACTGACTTATTATGCAGAGCACTAAACTTTTTTTAGCATCCCCATGGGCCCCCCTGAAGTCTGGGGCTCCAGGCGTCTGCCCTTTCTGCTCTTATTATAATGTGCAACTGCTTACGGCTGTTTTAGGGGGAAAGGGATGCTTAGAAATCCTGTCTACAAACGTGAATACTCTTGTTGTCATGGCTGCAAAGCTACAAAATTTGATTTTTGCTGACAATTTTAGAAAATAATGGTCTCAAGTTTAACTAGAAACTTAAACTTTGTAACTTTTTGAAATTACAAAGTGGCTTGCTTAGCAATTATATATTTTGTATCAATTTTTAATAAAACTGGAATTTTCCTTAGAAAACAATTTATTGTTAAATTTATGGCTGTGATGATGAGAAAGGTACAGATATAAGAAACAAACAAGCAGACTTGTCATAGCTGTTTTTAAGTGATCTACATTCCTCCTTATCCTGGTAGAATGCCAGTTCATAATGCGTATTGCTGTATCCTGATAAGCCTTCCCCTTCAGCAACAAAGGAAAGCACTGAAAATATGTTTCGGCATCTTGCGGTACATCAGCTGTAGAGGATATTTACCCGAAAAAACTGCTTGGTTATGGAATTTTTCATAGCACATTTATCAGGACCGGAGACAGATATTGTGCTGATGAGCCATTCACCTAATCCACGGTGCGAACCAAGTGATAGCTCAAGTGAGGAGATAAAAGGCCGTAACTCAGTTAAACGAGCATCAAACAAAACGGGATGTGGCAGATATTGTGCTTATTGCAATGTGGAAAAATACCCTCTCTGATGTTTTAGAAAACTGTCAAATGTAACAAACATCTGTTTCTTTTTTCTTTGCATTTGTTAAAGCTAAATACACAGTTAAAACATATATAAGTGGGTGGTTTTAAATGCCAAAGGATTTGTATTTGTGTCCATTCAGTTCTGAGATTTACAGAGCTCTGCCTCACAGCCCTGATCTTTCTTTGCTGCAACTTAGTATTGCATATAGGCCTTGTCCCTCCTCCAGCCGCTGACTGGACAGTGAAAGGAGAAGCAGCGCACTGATAATCTCATCTGTCTGTCACTCTGTTCTCCCTTTCTAGTAAGTGCAGCTAACTAGCTCCTTTTGCTGCCTTTATCTCTCCTAGTCTGAGCCCTGCTGTATAGTGGATTGCAAGAGGCTGATATTAAGTCATATTCGGTCAATTACTTCTTCAATTTAAGAAGAAAAAAAATAAGCTTAATTATGTAGTATTGAATGCATAGCTGCATTCATTTTGTGTATTTTATGTCTGCCTAGAGTTCAGCTTTGAATATCTTGCCATACAGTATCTGGCTCAGGATCATTCTAAACCTGAACCATTTTTCAAGTTAAACAGACATAGACATGCTTGTTACCAATGAAATACCTGTGTTATTCAAAGTCTAAGGCAGACTGTACATTGATACATTTTCTTTCGTTCAACCAGTGGATTGTATGAGAGAAAATTGATCATTTTCCCCATCCACACTTTCAATTTGGATGGGGTAATCCCTCCTGTGGAGCTATTGTATTCTGACAGCGGGGTGACTTCCACACCATCAGCATACGCTTATCTGCGCCATCGATTATAGCCAGTGCCACTGATCAGGTGAAGATTTTCCAACAGGCTGGTTGTATATAAGTCAATTGGGAGACTGACCTCTGTACAGCCAACCTGCCCGTAGATGGATTGAAATTTGGCCGGTCCTTGCTGAACCTGCCAAATTTTAATCCATCTATGGCTGGCTTAATTCTGCCTTAATAATTTTCTTTCAACTCTTTTTTTTTTTTTTTTTTTTTTTATAAAATTTTGCAAGACAATAACAAAATAGTGGTTGACTGTACCAGTAGGTATAAAAGCATCACGTGTCTGTCAAAGTTATACATAATACATTCAGCATTTACATTAGATTATCATCAGAATATATCAATGCACCTTTCATTTGCCAAGATGTCACATACGGTACATATGGATCAAAATTTTTATCCATTGTGGAAACAGTTTAATAAACTTATAACAAAAGAAAAATAGGAGCTTAGAATAAAAATAAAAAACCCCACAAAAGTACAGAAAAAGAAAGAAAAAAGAAGAGAAAATCAACAAATCCAACAGAATTCAACAAGGTTCCATCACACTTATAGGTCGGAGAGCTTAAATAAAGTGTTCCAACGTTGCCGTTTAATTTAAAATACTCTTATAGTATGATTCGAAAGTGCATAGGATCTCTCATATAGGTAGTGGGAGTATACTCTATTAATCACTTCTGAAATGGGTAGAGATATAGAAGATTTCCACGCTTTAGTAATAGTTAACCTAGCAGCAATTAAGATATGGGCAATGATTGTTCGAAATTGGACAGAAAATAAATTCAATGTAATATTTAATAGTGCCAAATGAGGATTGGGATTTGTTTGTACTCCAGACTCCCTAGAGATCAATGCAAAAACATCTCTCCAGAATTCCCTTATACTTGCAAATTCCCACAATACATGCAGCAAGCTTCAAATGTCTCCACAAGCTCTCCAAACAAGCAGGTGAAGCGTCGGGGTATATTTTTGAAAGTTTGTATGGGGTTAGGTAACTGTGATATAAAATCTTAAGAGAGCTTTCCCAATGGTTAGTACACTTGGAAAGGCTGAAATTACAAGTCCAAGCTGCTTGCCACTCTTCTTGAGTAAAGGATCTCCCCAAATCCCTTTCCCAATTCTCTACACTTGCTATCACTGAACTATCATGATCATACAGCAGGAATCTATAAAACCATGAAATTCCCTTTTTAGTCCAGACGGATTCGATAAAATATGCCAAATCTTAGAATCCACCTCCACTTCCGAATTATAATTGACTCCATGGTAAGCTTGAATCTGAAAAAAAATGGGTATATGCTGCTCCTCACTTGTGAAGCATGGATGTCAGTAAACTTGGAGTAGCCCGCTTCTCTCAAAGATTTTACAGTAAGATTGGGAATAAGATGTTCATAGGTTGTTAATGGTATGTCTAGCTTAATCTTAGGGGTAGATGGGGTGGATTTAGATAAACCTATTGCCCATGCACTCAGTGTCGCAGAAACGGAGGGAAGACAGGTATGAATTAACTGTGTAGAAATAGCTTTCGCCAGCAGTAGAGCCTGAAGATCCCCAGCTGGGACTGTGCTTCTCTCTATTTGTACTCATAGCTTCTCTGAAGGGATCAGCCAATGCTGAAGTTGATCTAACAACGCAGTGTAGTAATAGGTAGATACAACAGGGAAATTTACCCCCCCCCTTAGATTTATGTCTAATGAGTGCTGAAAACAGGATTCTAGGTTTATTCCCTTTCCAAATATATTTCTTTAACGATATATCTAATTTACTAATGTAGGAATGAGGAATAAGTAACGGAATCGTTCTAAAGTAGTATAAGATTTTAGGCAGAACTAACAACATCTTAAAGGCCACTAATCTGCCCAACCACGAGAGTTCATGTTTACAAATTGCTAATAGATCCGTTAATATCACCTGGTATAGTTTCTCATAATTAGCTTTGAACATGTTGCAAGAAGGGGAAGACACTCGAATGCCCAGATACTCCAGATGTGTAGTGGACCAGCTGTACATAAATTTATTTTTAAGACATTGTAAAAGATCTTTTGGAATATTTATAGGGAGTGCACATGATTTTTAGTAATGTTGAGTTTGTAATATGAAACGCTACTAAATGTTTTAAGTGTAGAGGAGACTGCTGTCAATGAGGTCAATGGGTCCATCAAGGTAAGTATGACATCATCCGCGAATGATGCCAATTTTGTGGGAAATATATGCTGTTTGTATACCCGAAATCAAAGGGTTCACTCTGATTGAAGTCGCTAGAGGTTCCATCACCAAAGAAAAGATAATAGGGGAGAGGGGACATCCTTGCCTGGTCCTGTATGAGAAAGGGATCTGACAAAGCATTGGATGTAAAAACTTGTGTGAAGAGCACAGTATATAACTCTGTGATAGCCGATTTGATATAGCCAATCAAACCGAAATTTGAAAGAGTAGAGTTGTGATACTGCCAATGTACTCTATCAAAAGCCTTCTCGGCATCTAATGCCAAGAAGACAGTTTGCTGCCTTAATAGTTTTCAATCCATTGCCTATTATGCTGAAACTTTAAATTAATAACTCTCCTTCTCCTTGGTACTGACCTCCACATACTCATTGCTTTGCGATTCAGATCTGGTCCTCTCCTGGGTTTAATGATGCATGGGTTGAATAGGTTACATGCAGGCAATGGCTTTGTACAGAACTCTCAAGTTCCCCCACATCAAAAACATCAAACCATGTCTATATGGGGCTGACTTTTTGCTAGGTTCCTGATCATGGTGGAACAGAAAATGACTTCCACCAGTTTGTTGCAACTAAATTGGAAATGTACTGTTGTCTAAATTATGGTTGTATGCTGGTCCATTACTGGAAACACCTGAACTCAGTAATTTGGCGGGATGTCCACATAGGTGTGATGGTCAGGTCTCCATAAACATCTAGCCATTTAGTGTAAGGTGATGGCAGGGATTTCTAACTCCACCCCCCCCCCCCTTATACTGGCATAATCATGCAACTTCAACCAATGTTGTATATGAAAGAGCTTTCAGAGGTCAGGGCAGCTCTGCACATCCTACTGCCATCTGATATGTGTAGGCAGCTTATTCATTAGTTCCCTATGAGCCAAAATGTCTTGGGTTGTGCTAAATTCCAATCATAGGTTGGACCTTAATGGTGTAAAATTGATATTTGCATGTATTTTTTTGTAATGAGTTTTTGTGATCAGATGTTTCCTACAGTAGAGGCTGAGGCTACAAATGAATGTAAAAAATTAGCACTTCACTCACAGGGCAACAGGAACACAAATAATGTCAGCAAAGGGTTTACTTAGTAACCAATGTATTTTTTTTGTTTGTTTTACTCTAGCAACAGGAGCCAGAATTTTATACAGTAGAGCTTGATAAAGGAGCGAAAGGTTTTGGGTTCAGCCTCCGAGGGGGACGGGAGTATAACATGGACCTTTACGTTTTACGTCTAGCAGAAGATGGGCCTGCAGAGAAATGTGGGAAGATGAGGGTATGTATGAAATCTTCACTTTTGCCTATCATCAATACAATCTTATTGCTTGTATAATTGTTAAATACATCATGGCTGTTTACATTGTGCTGGGATTTCACTGGGTCTGAACCATATTCTGGCTCCTGGCAATTACCACCGCATATATTTTACAATAAGCAAATAATTGAAGACTTTAGTTCCTAGAGAGTGACAATTTTTTTTTAATATAGACTTGTGGGCAGAGCAAGAGACTCAAACTACTGTGGGGGGAGATTCATCTGTAGTCTGGAACAGATAAAGTAAGCCAATGGGGATTCAGTACTAAAGTATCATTGTGATATACGTGTGCAGTATGAAGAGTAGCAGGCTGGGACCATGTTTGTGGAAGGATTGCATGATGGAGGGCTGCACTGGGGGGTTGGGGCGGGAGTAATATTTAAAGGATAACTAATGTTGAAGTTGTCCTTTATATTATTTTAGTAGATGCTGGAAAGTGGCATTACCTGTTCCTAATGCCTGTCCCCGAGTATGAAAGGGTTACTGCAGGATTTTTAATTGTAGTTCATTATATTGAAGAATTTGGCACGGGGGGGGGGGGGGGCGGCACAGCGTTGTAGCAGGAGGAACAAGGTGGACAGTGAGATCCCTCCGTTAAAATCTCCAGAAGATAAAAGAATCCAGCGGTTGACTTCGAACAACGAATTCCACATATAGCTAATTTCTCTTTCAGCTGAGGTGGCAGAATATTAGGGGAATTTCTGCATCCTGTAGTTTAATAATTATAACAAAATAGTTGTCAATTGTTGTGCAGGTTTATAATGCCATCTAGATGAAAGGAAGTCCTTTCTTTCAAACCCGCTTTATCACTCTCATTGTCATTCTCTTTGAGACAAATGCAACTGCTAAAAGCAGCACTTGAAATTACTGCACTTCATCTACAAGACAACACCGGCACAGCTGAGATCTTTCTTCCTCTGGAGCCGGTGTATTAATTAGATTTTTATGTCAATAGAAAAGAATTACCTTGCTTATGTTTTTAGTATTTCAAATTGTTGTTAGGTTGTTCTGTTTTATAGAAGTTACATGCATTCTGCTTCAAGTAGATGTATTAAACAATCAGGGTTTTTTTTTTCAATTCTCCTGTGGTCATATGCTTTCATTTTTCACATTTATAACAAACAGTAAATATGTATCAAAACGGGTTAATAGCACTGAGGTACTTTACATTTTTCTCTCAGATCATCCCCCCTTCTCTGTATTATCCTTCACTCAGTAAGTCAGCTCACCCTGCTCCCCACTTCCAGCAATGACTCAGCAGCACAGCTCACCCTGCTCCTCAGTTCCAGCATTGACCCAGCAGCTCAGCTATTACCCTGCTCCCCACTTCCAGCAATGACTTAGCAGCTCAGCCTGCTTCTCACTTCCAGCAATGACTCAGCAGCTCAGCCTGCTTCTCACTTCCAGCAATGACTCAGCAGCAGCTCAGCCTGCTTCTCACTTCCAGCAATGACTCAGCAGCTCAGCCCACCCTGCTCCCTACTTCCAGCAATGAGTCAGCATCTCAGCTCAGCCTGCTCCCCAGTTCCAGCAATGACTCAGCATCTCAGCTCACCCTACTCCCCAGTTCCAGCAATGACTCAGCAGCTCAGCTCACGCTGCACCCCACTTCCAGCAATGACTCAGCAGCTCAGCTCACCCTGCTCCCCACCCTACAGCAATGACTCAGCAGCTCAGCTCACTCTGCTCCCCACTTCCAGCAGTGACTCAGCAGCTCAGCCTGCTCCCCACTTGCAGCAATGACTCAGCAGCTCAGCTCACCTTGTACCCCACTTCCAGCAATGTCTCAGCAGCTCAGCTCACCCCATACCCCACTTCCTGCAATGACTCAGCAGCTCAGCTCACCCTGCTCCCCACTTTCAGCAATGACTTAGCAGCTAAGCTCACCCTGCTCCCTATTTCCAGCAATGACTCAGCAGCTCGGCTCACCCTGTTCCCCACTTCCAGCAATGAATCAGCAGCTCAGCCTGCTCCCCACTTCCAGCAATGACACAGCAGCTCAGCTCAGCTTGCTCCTCCCTTCCTGCAGTGATTCGGCAACTCGGCTCACCTTGCTCCCATCTTCCAGTAGTGGCTCAGCAGCTCAACTCACCCTGTTCTACTTTTCAGAGCTCTTACTCTTAGTTTACATTGAAGATGAGAAGGCTGTAAGGCTAAAAGTCACTGCTGGGAAGGGGGAATTAGGGTGAGCTGAGTTTCTGAATGACTGTGGGGAGAGGGCAGCACGGGTTGCAGAGCTGATGTTAAATTTGAGAATTAATTTCTTTTCAATTCTTGAACCTACAGAGGTCATTTGGAGATTGTTTTACAGCGTATTTTCTGCTTTGGACCATGTAAATACTTAACTTCCCTGGCGGTATTCCCGAGTGTAGCTCGGAGTTAACTTTCAGTACCAGAAGCGGTAACCCCGGGCTACACTCGGGATTACCCTGCAGCGTTGCTCTGGGATCCCTCTTGCACTTACCTTGTCCTTTGCTCCTGCGATGTCTCCCTTGCAGCGTCCCTGGCCAACTCCTCCGGCTGATGCCGGCATCTGTCTTCCAGGTTCTGTTCCCTGCGAATGTCGTATGTGCCGGCGGGAAATTTAAAAATGTTAAAAAGTGACATTCACTAAATACACTAAAATCACAAAGTATAATATTACTGTATCAAACCATTTCACATACATTTTGTCCCGAGTGCTTTGTCCTGTGCCCTGCCTGCATTTTTACTGTTCTTTCTGCCTGGAAACTGAGAAACGTCCATGGCGTCCAAAAAGCGTCCCTTTACGTCAAAAGCTGTTTTAGACCGGCTAGAGAACAGCGATCGTAAATCAGAACCACTTGCAGAATTGAGTGATAATGATTCGTGGGGAAATTCGTCATCAGACACTGAAAACGATTTTGCGACTTTGCTCAGTGATGTGCGAACTTGGTGCTATATTTCAAATTTCAGTGTTTTTGGTTTGATTATATTATTGAATTAAATGTATTATTATATTATTATTTTTTATGATTATTTATTAAATTATAATTTATGATTTTGTGTTTCAAGTTTTATCATATCCGGGATGTTTAATAGACTCTTGTTCAGACAGATTTCAGTGAGTTATTCCTAAAAATTACAGCCTACAATAAAAAAAACACAACATATTTCCATACAAAAAAATGTACCGCTTTGAGCACAGAAATATTGACATAATCAGACCGCTAGGGAGGTTAATTGATATAACAAGAATTCTTTGTATAATAGAATCATTTGTGTCAACTATAATAGGAATATTCGGAAGGTGGGAAGAAGTGGGCAAGCATCATCAGGAAATGTTGGAACTTTGCCCATGAGAATGGCCAGATATTTGGACATAACAGTGGGCCTTGGAAGCTGCTGCTTTCTATACCTGACAGCATTTGTTTGTTTTTTTGGTGACAAAGTTGCCTAAATCATTTCTATTTCTAATACACTTTTAATGCTATACAGAAAAATCAGATAAAGTATACTATCCAAGCCCTGTAAAAAAAAAAACAAGAAAGAAATTTTGTTTCATGTATCAGTCTGACATCTGGTATTGTGCAACGGCAAGGAGAAAAGTGACAGGAATCCATAAAGGCCAAGGTTATTTTTGCAGCAGTCTTGCTTTTATACTTGATGCAATGGCAATCTCAGTGTTATTACAGTGGTAAAGAGACTGTGACCAACACTCTCCCTTTTTTTTATTTGTATTTTCTTTTTTTGGTAACAAATGAAATAATAGGTTGTGCATTGCTTCTCACAGGTCGGCGATGAGATTCTAGAAATCAACGGAGAGACCACAAAGAACATGAAGCACACTCGGGCAATTGAACTGATTAAAAATGGCGGTCGGCGAGTGCGTCTAAGTCTGAAACGTGGAGATGGTTCTGTGCCGGAATATGGTGGGTCAAACACTGAAAACCTTCCTTTGCTCCCTACCATCACTCCATGAATGATCTCTTTCTGTCAAGAATCTGGAGCAGGAAATACTTTTTTCTCCTTTAAATTTTTTTTCTTTAAATCACCAGTGTCTTACCAACTCTTGTGAAATCTGATTAATTGCTTCGCTTGTACTGAATTTCCGCTCTCCTCAACCTCTGCTTGCTTCTGTGGACTTTTGGGGCTCAGTATGAGGATTTAAAAAAAAAAAAAAAAAAAAAAAAAAAGCAACGTAGCATCTTTTTTGGTGAAGGAGGAACTTAAAAAAGTCTATTTGTTAAAACTCTACTGTATTGAACTGTGCCAAACTGTTCTGATCCTTCTTTTGTAACAAATAAGGAATCCACCATTTACAAAAGAAAATTGTCATTCTTACTGGAAATCACACACTTTATGAATTCTTCCTAATTTGCCTGCACTGCAAACATAACGTTTGTGAATTGTTGATTCCTGCTTGTTTCAGCATCGTTTTAACCAGAAAAAAAAAAAAACAGATTTTATTTGTCAAAGCCTAAATGAAAAGGAAATTTATTTAAAGAGTATGGAGATATATATGTTATCAGGGAACTGAATATTCTAAACATAATTCTATTTTATGCGAGAGTATGTTCTAGCAAATACTGTGCTAAATTCAGTATATTGTAAAATATTCCTATTTAATTGCTGATGGCTCCTATATGTTTATGTATAGGGCATGTCCCAACCAAAGGTCTTTGAAGTTTCTATAAACAGTTCTGAAGCCATTTTTATCCTCCCCCAATTTGTTTTTTTAAGTTTTTGTCACCATTTTATACTTTGCCATAACATAACTGGGCCATTTGCAAATCAATGAGTAGATTAATTGGGAGTTCTACAAGACTTAAGGCTATTCATAACTGAAAATATGTAGTAGACATGTGTCTGTTCTCAAGATTGCTCCAGAAACAATGAAGGTCTTACTGAGAATGTTGTTTATTTGAAAAATACATGACAATGCCAGATCATAACTTGATAATTCTTGCAGACACAGTTGTCATGTGTGTTCATTTGATTACATGAAGATGGAAACAAAGACATGCAAACCTTTGCTCCACAGAATACAGCTGAAAAACGTCATTTCTACAGATCCATTTTAATTGTACCTTTATGTCTATGAATAGCCAGGTCTTTGATACAGCCTTTCCTTGCTTTGTATTGACCCAAGTAGAGAACATTTTTACTTCAATCCAAACTTTTATTACACTGCATTATAAAAAATTGAGAATCTATGCTGAAGATAGTCTTTGCTTAATGCACCTCTGTTGCTAACTAAACTAAGTTTATAAAAAGGTCTCCCTACAAAGATAAGGGTTAATACCTACCCCTCTTGCTGCCCACCGGCTTTTGCAGTGGGCATACTTCTAGGTTTGGTGGATTCTTGGTCCTCTGCTGTACCGAGTGTTGGCTTCTGCTGGCCCCTATGTTACCACTATGTGCTCTAGTGATGTAGGGACCAGCGGAAGAAACCGCGCAGAGTGTAGAATAGGATCAGAAGATTTGTCAATGAGTGTAGCACTTGAAGACAGCAGTATAAAAAGGGGTAAGACCTAACCCTTCTTTTTGCATGGAAGATTTTTTTAAAAAAACTTTCTATTCAGTAGTGATAGAGTCACTTTAAAGTGAACTTGTGCTGAAGATACAGTGCAGGTAGTGTTGGATATAAGGCATTTTTTTAGTTCACCCCTGCAAAGTGCTGCTGGAGTCATCCCAAAAACCCAAACTTTTCCAGCTCTGGGGAACATTCCATGTCCCAAACAACTAATTGGCAAACACTAAGCTCCAGAAAAATCCTATTCAAATACAGACTTTCTTGAAGTCAGTGTTTGCATAGGATATTCGGGAGCTGTGGAAGTACACTGTGGGGAGGAGTAAGGTATGTTGCAGCACTTTATGGCTCTATTCAACACTAGACTTGTATTTGATATCACCAGGTGCGGTTTGCTTTAAAGGGGAATTATCTGCTTTGTATTCTATCATATTGATAATGATAAATACTTTTCAAAAGGAGAAAATACTGCCAAAAACATCATTTAAATGCTACCAAAAATGTTTTTACATTGCAAGCTTTTGGAGTACTAGTGCTCTTTGAGAGTATGTACAAATTTTGTAAACCGATGTGACAAAGGGCCATTAATTCTCCAGGAGCTTGCAAAATACTAAAAAAAAAATTTGTAAAAACCTTTTTGTTTTTTTAACCTATCCAAGTTATTTACTATGCTGCTGGCTAATATAATACAATATTCTTTTTTTGTGTCTTAATTGGGAGTAATGTTTAGGGTGAACAAATCAGGGAACACTTTGAACAGTTTTTTTACCTGTTTAGTGTCATTTTGATTTGCTCTAGGCATCCCAGAAAAAAATGCCATTGGGGAAATGGTACTTTAGAAACATTTTTTGTCTTCCTACACCCTTGGCCTAACAACTTACTATTAGATGGTACGTTTCATTGTCGTTTTCTGGCAAAGCACAGCATAGGACATTAGGGCCAGCGACAGCCAAAGTCATTGAAGGGCATTGTGCAAGAATAATTCTTTGGGTTCCCCCATTCAAGTACATCACAAATACAAACACTTTGATGGAAAGATAAATTGATGGAGATGATGAGTTCTCTATGTGATACTCAGAACTCTCTCATGGTTGATAAAATGCAAATTGGACTCAGACAGTAAACAGCTGAATCGCTTCCAGTTCAGATATTGAGAAAATGGTAGAACAATTATCCGTGTCTCAGTGCTGGTATAGCAGGGAATTCAGGAGGTGCTTACCACCTAATAAAACAGGGGAAAGGTTTGGGCTAGGCATCATAACAAATGCATCAAGCTTTTCAATATGTAAGCAATGTCAACATGGCAGGAGGGAACCCAGCACTTGTCTCAACCACTTCTAGTATAGGTAGGCCCATATGTCCCAGAGGGCCTATGTGCAGTGGCACAAATGTTATGTCCACCTCTGATCCAAGGCCTAAACCTTGACCCAAATATGCAAATTTATTCTAGTGGTCCAGCGGGTCAGTGAAGAGTGGATTATAAAAGTTTTTTCCCTGACTAACGATTGGGGTGTATTTGGTGGATGTGATAAATGTAGGTGATCTGAGTGCTGGCCTTAGATGGAAACATAAATCCCTGGAAAGATGAGTGGGGAAATACATGCATACATCTTCACATTAGCGCCCTTATCTGCCAAGTTATATATTTCTGACAGTGGTGCACACTTGTCATAGTTTGGATCATATACTCTTCTCCATAGGGGAGTGAAGGATTTGGATCCACTGGTAATAACATTTTCTAATAAGTTGATATTGTTTAGAACAGCTTATGATTGCAAGCCATTTTCGAAATCAGGAATATTTCTTAATCACTAAACATATTGAACACTATCTCTACATCCCCTTTTATTCTAGGTGTAGTATTATTGTACTCCAAGTATTCACTTGATGGTAGAGGTAGCCGCAGGAATAAGATGGTGTCTGCATACTAATTCTTGACTGAATAAACCTTTTTAATGCACGTGTGCATCACCCAATGTTTAGATATTTTGCAGACAAGATAAGGTAGGTGCCTTATCTCAGGGGAACAGTAACATTAAGCCAACTGATCCCTCAACCAAGAATACTCAAAATTTGGTACCCAAAGTTCATTGGAATAAATAATGGCCTGATCCTGCAACAGGCATGGTGCCTGATTATTTTAAAAAAATGGCAATAGTACAAAAATAGCTAATTTTATTGACAGTTAAGGTTTTTGTAAGGGGACCAGGCTCTAAACACATTGCCATCCAGTGAACAATTATCAGTTGACAATGATCACTGTCATCTGAGTGTTTTTGTTTTTTTTGGCACCGGGGGGGGGGGTTAGTTGTAAAAAAAGAAAACTTTCTCCTGTCATGAAGGGTTTTGGCTTCTGCTGACTGAATTTGAGAGATTAGAAAACAAACCATAGCAGTCAAGGCTATGTGATATTGATAATTACAATTTTAGATATTTTTTTCCTGGCAGATGTTTGTTAGCTTGGCAGTATAATACATCATCTTGTATAGAAATCATGATACTTCCCCTTTAATAGAACTGTTGCCAACTGTATCTCATATTACTTAGAAAACTATTGCAGTGTTTTTTTTTTGTCATTCTATACATTTACATAGACTAAGAAGCATAATGATGATTGTGCAAGGTCCTCAACATCAGTCACAACTTCACCCTCATCAAAAAATAGTATCCCAATGAATTGTTCAGAAATATTTTGCTGTATGCAACTATTTTATGTATATATTTTTATTGTCCATTATTTTAATGGTTTCTCGTTAAAGATGCACTGTATTGTTAAGTACCCATTGTATAAACTGTCTTGTTCCTGAGGGGGTTAGCCTCAATACATGGCTGTTGCACCCCTAACTAAGACAGATGGGAAGCCAATTGACTTTTCAGCAAACTTTTTGCTTTACTAATTTATTTGTTTTAAAAATAATATAATGCAGAGACTTTGAAAGTTTTGCTGCTAAAAGCTGTACAGGTATAAACCATTACAGGGGGTCATTTGTTTCATGCTCCCCATTATAACAAATGTGAAGTTCCAGCGTAATACCTCTTAAATGGAACATGCTTCATAGTGAGGCTGTATTTTTCTTTTGTTTTTTTTTCTTTTTGTAATTTAATTTTAATGTTGTGGTCTGCTGTGGACTTGTATATATCTACACTTTTTTTTTTTTTTTTTCGTTGAATGTAAATGTTAATTTTTTTTTTTCTGGCAACCTGTTAATCTGTTTCCCCGTTTTTTGATTTTTTTTTTTTTTAAATATATTTATTATAGTCTTGTCTGTAAAAAAAAAAAAAAAAGAAAAGAAATCACATTCTAGATGCCTAATGTCACAATAGAACTCGCAATTTTCACAGCCTTATTTGGATGTCACCTAGCCAACTTGGTCGGAACTAAAAATAAACCATCCTATGAATTATGAAGATTCAATAAATCTGTTTCTCCTTTCCTCTTTCGATTCATAGGGTTTCTAAATCTTCTACTTTTTCTCTTTCCTTCTCTTTTCTTCACTTGTCTTGGTGCGGGGCTATACCTTCCTCAGCGATGATACCTCCTAATATCGCTGCATGTATGAGAAATGACAAGCTCGGAGAGCCTTGCATCTACCTAATGGGCCAAAATCAAACTACGGTTTGTAGCTAAGTAAATCCTAGGTGTTTCTGTGCTGTGGCCTAATAATTACCCATTGCTTGTGCTTTGCTAAACTTTCTACTTGTCCAGTAACTCATGAACACACCGCATTTCTCTGATCTGCACATGTAAGTACAATACTGGATGTTTCTGATGCAAGCCCTGTGAATCCATTGCAACCATACTCCAAAAAGTTTGCTTGCAAGCTTAATGTCTGGCAAGTTTTTATGAAAAACGTATGTGACCAAGCATGGTGGCCAGTCTACAAGATGCAGTCTTACCAGTTTTTGTGGCTTGACAAAGTGGAGTGTGAATTTAGCCTTGTTTTTATGTCTTCATAGATAGAGCAAGCCTTTAGGTGAGCAAAAAGTAACAGTACAGTTTTTTACTATGTAGATATAGGTAAAGCATGCTATGTTTTACCCTAAACTTGCATGATATTGACAGTATTGTGTCTTGATCTAGGCTAAAGTGTATTGGAATATTTTTTAGGTCATCAAAATAAAAATGGTCCTGAGGTCAAGTGAATGAAACTTCAACAGAAAACCGATAAATTGGGGAATAGTTAGGTTAAATCATACTAGAACAGTTTCATGGGATTTTAACCTGATATATTTTATTGGCAAGTATAAGCTGGTACACTACTGAAAGCTGTAAAATGAACCAGTCATGAATGAACATATGCAGGGATCTGAATATCCACTCATAAAGTAACTTTGTTGCTTGAAAAAAAAAATCTGAAAAAAAACAGCCTAGAAAAGAAGACTCTTAATATTTACCTTTCCAGTAGGTGGCAAGGCCTCACTTCACTCTCTTTAAAGTAGTAGTACACCACAGCAACAACAAAAAAAAAATTGGCCCCCAGGCAGTTTTAAATCATAATGTGCTAGTATGCACCGAATACTAGCACATTATGACAGACTTACCTGAAAACAAAGCTCCTCAGCAGTATGCTGTCACCGCTGTAGGCCACTTCTATCTTCACCCGATTTCCTTCTGGGATCGTGGACTACGGCGTTTTGAATGGCCGAACGATGATGACGTCACTTTCACACATGCGAGCTGGAGTCACTGTTTATGGCACAGGGCTCTGAAGGAACGGCACGGTATGCCGTTCCTTTTGAAGCGCACGTGCTGGTGACATCACCAGCTGCTTCTTTAGTAAACATCTCCTGAACGGTACACGTTTAGGAGATATTTACTGTACCTATAGGTAAGCCTTATTATTGGCTTACCTATAGGTAAAAGTCAACCAAGGGAGTTTACTCCCACTTTAAGGTCTACAGCTTCCCAGGTAATCATCAGCATCTGATTCCTACTTTCCCCACTACGTGCTGCTGTTCCATCTGCCAACCTCTACATCACTACAGGACACAGTGGTAGAATAAATGCTGTTGGAATGAAACCACAGCACACACTAAGGGACCAGGCATATAACACATCTGGAAGATTCTCCTCACAGCAGAAAGTTAAATATAAAGAGTTTTTTTATTGTCTTTTTTGTTTTCAAGTAACAGTCACTTTATTATACTAATATTGCAGTCTTAAGCCTCGTTTGGCACTTCTGCTCTGACAGGGAGAGAATACAAGTGAAATATCAAACTCATCTGACCCCTGAGAACTAAGATTTCATCAGTACAATAATTCAAGAGCAAGGAGTCAGAGTATTACAGAAGCCTATTGGTGACTGGTTCTCTTTAAGGAAAAATTGGTTCACTGCTAGATGTAAACATGATCATTTTATTCTACAAACTATCCATCTCTAGGATCTACTTATTTCCTCAAGAATGGAATTCACCACCAAAAGCCTACTCTTTATCGTGATGCAGTAAGTGATCCAGACAATAATCCCATAAGTACAATGACAAATATGTGAATATGCCACTTTCCCTCTACCAGAAACATCAGCATCACTGTTACAACTTTTAGGGCACTTGGAACTCTTAAATTGGCAATAAAAGGTAGATTTAAAAACCAGCAAACACTAATGAAGGCATTCAGTAAATACATTTGTCAATAAATTTAACAGGCTTCAGTTAATACTTCTGCTGACTGCATTAACAAATGTGTGTTGCATACACTAACTAAAGGGATAAAGTTTTTTTTTTTTTTTTTTTTTTTTGTTTTTTTTAGTACACGAATGCACAAAACTAATTTTATTTTTTCTCTCCAGAAGCCAGCAGTGACAGGAACAGCCCCACAGCCAGCTCACAAAATCTTTCGAAAATGAACACTATGCCATCAGAGAGACATCCCATGCCATTGGAGTTCAGTTACCCACCAAATACTCACAAGTCATTACAGCATGAGGAAAAACGGACTCACTTCAAAGACCCTAAGGGAAGCAGGGACTACAATAGACAACATAATGACCATCACACTTGGAATGGGTCCTCTAAAAATTATTCTGTACAGAGTGGCCGAAGGGAAAGGTCTCCAGAGGCCAGGCGGCCAAGGCAAGGGGAAAGAATGGCAGTCAATGGACAGAAAAAAATGTCTCCTGAAAAGAGAACTGAAGGGACAAGGAGTGCTGAAGACACTTTCGAAAGGAAAGAAAAAGAACGTCATGAGAGAAGAAGAGACAGTTCTTCTCAAAGAACTAGGGAAAGGTCACCTGTACGAAAAAGAGATGGGTCACCCACCCGTAGACGAAAGTCACTGGATCGCTTTATGGATCAAAGAAGATCACCGGACCGAAGAAGAGAGAGCTCTCCTGAACGAAGAAGAGCAAAGTCATCTGACAGAAGAAGGGAAAGATCTCCTGACAGAAGACGGGATCGTTCCCCCGAAAGAAGGAGAGAAAGGTCTCAAGAAAGGAGGAGGGAAAGATCTCCAGACAGACGAAGCAGAGATCAAAAATCCAGCAATCGAGACCGGGATGATCATAGTCTGAAGTCTGATACTATGAGAAATGCTAGACATCCCCCAGATCAACGGAGGAGAGCCTATAAGGAATGTAGCACAGACCTCAGTATCTGATCAATCTGATGTAACATTCCAGCCTTTCCATTGGGAGGCTTTGAGAACAAAAATTCTTTATAGTGTCTTACTTAGCACCCAACACGTAATGACCCTGTACTACCATGGAAATGTTTTATGCAGATGAAACCTTACTACAGAGTGTTGTGCCTGATGTATATTAAAGAAAGTATTTTTGATGTATCTTTTTTTAAGTTATTTGCCAAATGTAAACCCCTAAGGGATATAACATGCTCTCAAAAGGAGGTATTTTATTGACTTTGTTCACTTTTGAACTTTTATTTTGACATCTGTAGAACATGTTCATGGCACTGGACAGTAAACTGTAAGATTTTTTTTTCTCATTTTTGGCTAGGCTTCATCATCAAATTTCTTTTTCTGACTGTTATCTGAAATGACAACCAATGTATTTAGAATTCTATAGGTCGGTGGGAAGAAATAATGAAATGCGGAAACAATTGTGAAGAATTATGTGTCAGTCTAACTGATCTAATGGAGGATATTCAAGACTACTATTTCAATGAAGGAGATATACAAGCACACTTCATAAAAGCGAGTTATTTTACTGCATTATAATTTGCTAGGTGGGCCTGCAGTAGATGGGTTAAGACACCAGTTGAAAGTACTTGGCAGTGGTAATGGAGACCCCAGAGTGTTAAACCTAGCTTATTGCATAATATTTTAGAGGCTAGCAGTCTGTTGAGTGAGAGCAGTGATCCCCCTTTGTTTATTAACTCACAGCACAGACCAAGTTCCAAAAGTGACCTACATGTCTGTTCTGCACTTTACAGCCACTGACCATAAACAAGGTCAGAGATGGTGATTATATTGAATAGTCTTCCATGGACACTGCACAAAGGTCCCAAAAAACAAAAATCTGTTATGTAGGTATAAAAATCAGAATTTTTGAACCTTGCGGGAAAAGCACAAAAAACGTTTGTATTTTAATTACTACTAGTAAGGCAACCATTTTGCTGTGTTCCAAAAAACCAAGTGTTGGTGACCTAAATGAAATATTCTAAAAATATCAACTCTTAAGAATATTTTAATAATTTTAAAAATTCAGCAAATTCCAAGGACTTCAAAAGGTTGCCCGTTTGCCATTGTGGCACCCCTACAAGAAATTTTAACTAAATAAGAGCCTTTAATAAACTGTTTTTATTTTAGATACTTACATAATATAGAATAGCTTTAAATGTTGGTCCTGTGATCAGAGGATGCCAAGATCAACATCCACTTGGTCTAATAACATAGGTAATCTCATGCATTCCTGGTGGGAATCACTGATCTACAATAGTCTGCTAGCCCCTATTTTAATGTTATGGTCAATATAGGTGAACCATGGTGCTCCAGTGGAAGATGTTGGGGCATGCAGGTCTCATATATATATATATTTAATTACCTAACAGCGGATGGTGTCACAACCACTGCATATTTTCAGTCTTAACATACTGCTTTACTGCCTAGCTGAGCCGAAATATCTGCCACTTTTCCAAACATGCCACACTTACAGTGCATTTGTACATTAAAAAAAAAAAGAAAAAAAACATACTGACGTGAATGAGCGTTGCAAGTCTATCACTGTTGTTGCTATGGTACTGTACAAAATAATGGCCAATCATTGTGTGTACAGAGGTGAAACTGTAATTATTCAAGCCTGTTGAAATAACAAAAAAAGCTTTTTTTTTCCTTGTATAAAAGATACTTTATGCTGAAAAAAATCATGAGAGGAATGTGATGTGTTTATATTTCTGAGAATGAAGAAAAAAATTATGAATCAGGAATATATTTTAATGTAAACTGAATCAGGTATGTAAAGGTGTTTTCTTTTTTGGGAATCAGATGCCATCGCAGTGACTTGGAAGTGTTCGTTGCCTCAAGATTGGGACTAGATTACGGCATTTGTGGACCTGCTTGTCAAGTATAAAGCACTTGTATACATTCTTCAATGGTCATATCTTGTACCCAGTCCATGGTGTTATTTAATTTTTGGTTTTCTTTTTGTCTTGAAGAAAAAGAGGTTTGTGGGCCAATCTTTGTTTTGAAACACTATGCATAGATCTATCCGACACTGTTCATAACACTGCTTTATTTAAACCTATGGGAGTTATGACTTTGATTTGATTGAAGGTGATTGTTGACTTTGCAAGTACAGGCTTCCTGACATGGGGCAATACACCATGTATGTAGCTAGACAAGCAAGTCTGTGAATGCTATTTTTATTATAAATAAAGTTTTCAATACAAAAATGTACCTTTTGTCTTATGAAAGCTGAAGTTCTGCATGTAGCTCTTATCTTGCATATGAGTGGATGAAATTAAATGTCCTGGTTACGATGACATATCTTGAGTATTCTTCATGCATTTAAAGTTGAATGACAAGTACTAACAAAGAGTCCGGCTAGCTCCACAACACTCTTAGGGCTTGTGTAGGTGCTTTTGGGTGCATTCAGCTTGCAGTTGAGATCAGTTTGCAATACTTCAGAGTTCCATCTAAGTTTCTTCAAAGGTGTGCGTAGGTCATACAGTTGACCATCTTCTGCGCTGCTTTTACCATTGACCTGTATAGAGATAAAAATTGTTCTGAAATAAAGGCTATGTGCACAGGTCCATATCAAACTTGGGTACCCACAATGAGGAATCGGCTTTACATTTTAAGCCAGCCCTGCTGAACTGGCTGAATTTTGACTCATGTATGGGCAGACTGGTTGTACACAAGACTGTCTATGGAATTAACTGTACAACCAGCCTATCTGTTTTTTCCTAAATGATCAGTGTTGCAGCAACACTGATCATTGTTTTCTGACAATGGAGAAGTCTCTCCACTCTCAGAATACAATACCACAACGGGAAGGATTCCCCCAACCACATAGAATGTGTCAATCGGAGAATCATATTGTTTTTTTTTTTTGTTCAACCCACTGGTTGAACGAAAATGAAATATGTATGGGCTGGCGTAGGCAAGTCTTCTAGAGTTTTCTTTGTGTTCCTCCAGCTCGGGATTTAAACCTTCTCTAAAACTATTTACTCCAACCAAGCGATTTAGTAACCCATGAATTCCAGAAGACTGATTTTTTTGTACAATGGTATTCAATAGCAACATTTATTTTTGACTACCAAAATCACTTGTTTCTCATTAATAAAATGACGGACTATTCTAAGTGTTGGCTGTCATCAAGCGTGTAACTATACTCTGACTACACAGTGAATCATGCAAGTAGCAATAGCATTTAGCACTTACTGTTGGATAAGATGAATGTATATACAGTATGGGAACCTTTATATGAATACTATGAAAGCAATTAATCCCCTGTATCACTAGTGGAATTGCAAAAAAAATTAGAAAAATAACAGCACTTTAATGTTTTTGCAGTGGGGCACCATCGCACAGTTGTGGCCATAGCTGACATTGAACCTTGAATTATAACTATGGGTGAAATTAAAAAAATGACAATGTATATTACTATTAACACAACAGTTTGTTTTTTTTGTGAACCCCCCCTCCCCTTTTGCCAGTGGCAGAACCGTGTATTACCTGTTAATATAGCCAGTAGATTTTTTATTTTGCTTTTTGCCTATAAGAGAGTGACAACATGGTTTGTTCTGTAGGAAAATTGCACAGCAGTGTTGTCACCCTGTGGACAGAGTAGTCTGCGATGAATATGTAATTTTGTACGGACTTTTCATTTCCAATGAAGTTTATTGGCAGATTTCACATAATACGCATTAAACAGATAAAAATGGTGACTATAGTCGTTGTCAAACTTAATAAGCCAATAATGACATACAAAACCATAAAAGGCCCGTGAAGGAGCTTTTACATCTCCCCCCAAATCTTAGGAATTCCTAGACTCAAAAGAGCATTTTCCAAAAAATTAGTCTGGGGTGCTAAACATCACAGTCAAAAGAAGAAAAGAGTAGGTAGGGTGCTCAGTGCGATGACAATGCTCTAAACCAGGTAGTTGATCCAGGGTTCCCAAGTCTTTTCAAACTGGAATTTTATCATTGAAGATGGCTGAGAGTTTCTCATTTATTGTTATCCAGGAAGCTTGGTCCTAATCAGGTCAAATGATATCGTGGGGGAGTTCCACGCCTTAGCTATTGCGATGCGGGCTGCAAAAAAGATGAAAGACATCAGCCTGCTCACGTACCACGGACCCTCTAAAGTTGGGCATCCCAATAAAGCCTGTTGTAGGTTCTTTTTAAGATTCATGCCCGTTAATGAGTACAGGTAATTGTAGACCAGAATCTACAGACTTTTGGACATTCCCACCAAATATGGAGGAACGAACCATCTTGGGAATAGCTTTTAAAGCAGCATGACGAGGCCACTGTGTAAGAGGCCAATTTCATTGGGACTATATACCATCGAAGTGACACTTTTGTAGTTTGCATCTATGAGTGAGGTATTAATGTATGTCCTGGAGGCATTTCCTGCTAATTTGTGCCAATCCTCAACGTCCACTTTCAGGTAGTGTTCCCATTTTAGCATATAGTTGTTTAGAAGAAGATGTTATTAGCATAGAGTAAATTGCTGATACTAAACCAGATTTTGTCACATGATCTACATAGAAATTCCTATATGGACTTGTAAGTAAGAGACAAATTAAAGCCTAACTTCATTTATCAATTATTTAAAAGTTACAGCACAAATTGTTTTCTTTTTTTTGTTTGTTTTTTTTAAAGTGCAAGATAACTTTGAGTGTAAACTTGGTTCAAATAAAGATATTTAGTGCAAGAGAAGCAATTCTTTTAAATCTGATAAATCTTTATAGTTGTCTGAAGACTTATGAATCATACCTGGCTCAAATAAAAAGACAACTGCTGCATAAGACAAGTAACTTTTTACAACTGTTACCAAAATATTATGGAGACTCATAAATTAGTCTAGTTTTTTTTTAATGGATTGAAGTGCTGTCACATAATTTGTGTATTTGTATTAAGATTTTTTTTTTTCTTTGGAGATTTTTAAATATCTGAGATTGCAATTAATTGGTATGG